ATAAAAGTTAAAAAAAATAATGGATTCATAAAGAATAAGTAATTAAAGAAAAAAGAATTCTAAAAGAATTGTAAAAATAAGATTGCAAAACTCTGAGAATTGAAAATTATGAAATACTTGTGAAACTCTAAAGGAATCGCAAATTGTTTGCGAAACTCCAAGGGAATAGCAAAGTAATTGTGAAAATCTTAAGAGAATTGCGAAACTCTAAGGAGAATCGCAAAATAATTGCAAAACTCTTAAGAGAATCACAAAATACTTATGAAATTCTAAGGAAATAGCAAAGTAATTGCGAAACTCTGAGAGAATTGCAAAATAATTGCAAAACTCTTAAGAGAATCACAAATTACTTGTGAAACTCCAAAGGAATCACAAAGTAATTGCGAAACTCTAAGAGAATTGCAAATTATTTACGAAACTCTAAGAAAAACTGCAAAGTAATTGTAAAACTCTTAAGAGAATCACAAATTACTTGCGAAATTCTAAGGGAGATCACGAAATAATTGCAAAACTCTTTAAAAAATTGCACATTAGGTTTTTTTTGAGATTCGAATATATCAAACTGAACTTTTGGATTAATCCAAAATTTTTGGTTCAGTTCAGATTTTACCAGTTTACAGTTCAGTTCAGTTTCAGATTGGCCTATAATCTAGATTAAACTGAACTGTTTAAAGCATTATTATCAATTATACATTGTATTTTTATATACATATTCATTATAATTTTCAGATTCAGTTGCTTTATTCTTACAATATGACGAAATTCATGATTTGATTAAGAAATTTATAAAAAGCAAAATGAAGAAATCAGTACCTAATAATATTCTTCTTCCAAACTCGTCTAGCATAAATAAAGACAATAATGACTTACAAATCTTGTCAGAATGATATTCAGATAATTATTCTGATGCTGAAGATATCAATATTGAATTGTCTAATTCAGATATATGCAGTAGTCTCAATAGAAAACAATTCCAATTACAGTTAGTTTTCAGAAGAAAAATTAAAAGAACATATAGTTTTTCTAGATCTGATTCAAATTCTTCTAATCCTAATCAGGATGAAGGTGCTATAATGCCTTAATATTTATATTTGATGGACTTATCTAATAATTTTCAAGAAGCTTTAAGGATAAGTAATTTTTTTTTGCTTTCATTTTATCATTATATACACTTATGCTATGACTATTTACTTTCAACATCAAGTTTTTTGGATAATTGAAAGATTATCTTCTGAAAGCTGATTAAAATTGGATAAGACATTTGATGCTTAACATCGCTTCATAAATGATATAATAATTCTAGCTGTTATAGAAGCTTTAGATTCAGATATGTTTCCTATTACAGAGGCTATTATATGGGAGTGTTTCTAGGAAAATCAGGTTCTGAGAAATTTTTGACTAAAATAAAGAGCTTAATACATTTTA